AACGTTGGTTATTAACACATTCCTTTGTAAATGAATCGCGGTCAAGACATGCTCTCCATGGAATGGAAGATAAGAGCGATAAAAAAGAATTGTGAGCTCTTTTTACGTAAATTTATATTACAATAATGCATGTAATACCCCAAGCTTGTTTTCCAGAAAGATACCAAAAACTTTTAGTTTTTAATAAATTTTTGATGCATAAAAATATGAGAAATAATATATATATCTTTATCACCACCCCCTTCTCTGTTATTACGTTTCAAGTACCGCCAGGGCGCTTTTATTTTTAGGACTACACCACTGATTATACGCATGAATTCGATTAGGATAACACGAAAATAATTGATACGGAACGTTTTTTACATAAAAGACCAGTGTGTAAAATGATACACATAAAAAAACAGAATAACGACTTAAACCTACAATCAGACACAGAAACGTTACAATATTCCTATTTATCAGTACTAAACAGATTGTAAATAATCTCAAAGCTTCATGTCCAATGTCACACGTAATGTGAAATCGTTTATATCGCTCATTTCATGTTGAGAGTTTGAAGTGAAAACGTCTTTATACAAGAGGAAAGGAAAATTATATCTGTAAATTTGTGTCATTCTACTAATGTGATAAATTTCCTCACATCGACGATTACAATGATTCACGTTTCATTTCTTCATATTTTGCTACTCCTTGCGGTAAGTTCAAGACACATAAAAATCTAGAACAAGTAAGACGAGCGTAACACGTCCTTTTACAGAATTTATTCGCTATTTAAACTACATGGCTTTATAACCAAGGTGGAATGCACGCTCAGTTTCCTCGATGGACTACTGTATGGAGTTCAGGATATATTTTAATTAATTGAGAAGATACTGATGATGACTCGAAGAGAAGTCGAAACGTCTATTTTCGGAAACTTGTTTTCTAAATGTGTATGTAGATTTCATTATTAAAAAGATTACTTAAGCCCTACTAACTGCACCTGATTCTCATTTGCCCGTTGTATTTTAATGTATATTTTTTTAATAATTTAAGGTAGTTCGTTAATAAAGTGCCGAAAATTTGGGATGCCTCACTAAGGCCCACCCAAAATCATAAATATTTGCTTAATTTGGATGAAATATCAAAACTACGTGTATATCTAATGAAATAATATAAAACAAACGATATTTAGTATGCAAAAGTGATTGATAAAATCACTAAAAAAAAATAAACTGAGGCCATATGAGGTTATATGCTTACTTTCATCACTTTCTTGCTTGTATATAAAAAGTTGGAGCTCAAGTTTTGCAAAGACGTAAAAAAAGGTTTGCTCTAATTATTAATTTTTATATCAAATATTTTAAATATATGTAATTATGTGATATATCAGTTATATAATGCATCTGTCATAAGACTACATGCATAAAATTCTAATTTAGTTTTTTTTTTTTTCTTAAAAATCACACGGTCATTTGGTTTAAAATTTTAATATAATATTAGTTTTACTTTAAAGAATATTCTAGAATTTTTAAACTTCTTATAATTTTTAAACAAATTGAAGTATTTTGATTTTGCTATCATATCTCTTTAAATTAAGCAAATTCAAAAATTTCGGAAAAAATTTAAAAAAAGCTATCTCAGAATTAAGGCAAAAATATAATATTTTAAGGATAAACGTTTATTTTAAATAATCCTTACATGTACACGGTTATTTTAATATATTAATATATGTATTTTATATTTGAGTACTCTGATTTTTTAATCATTTTTCATATAACAAGTGTAAAAGAATTATAGAGTGATGTCCTGAGATCACACTTATAATTCATTTAAAATCGATTTTATGTTATGTTTTGTTAATAATGTAAATAATGAAATGAAATGAAAACTGTTTCAATAAATTTCTTTGACAAAAATTAAAAATTAAATTACCTGAGCTTTATTTTGCACCTCATGACTACCTCTCCATGTATTAATGGCCGGTTGTCGTGGACCACGTTTGTCTAACAGCAGCTCGCTCGGACATTTTTCGAAAATGAGTACACGCTCTGCCACGGAACCTCTAGTAAGGAACGGCCTGACGGGATTGTTGCCTGTTCCCGTTCCCACAGCAGTCCTTATATTCTGCTTTTGTTGATTAGTCAATTCTGGATGGGGTACAGTCTGCTCTAGACGTGGCCGTGGAGAAGTAATTTTTGGTCCCCATTTAGATGTCACTAAATCTTTATCCAAGTCCTTAATATCCTTATCCTTTCGAATCTCCATCTCAAATTTTGTTCTTGTGCTAGAAACCAATTGCTCTGTAGTAGAATTATTATACGGATTGTTGGAAGCTCGTTGCTCCTCGAGTCGTTGTTGGGTAGGTGGATTTTGTTGAGCAGCCTGATATCTAACCTTAGCATAGTCAACCGCCGACATAGCGGACAGATCATCCTTGCTGAGTAATTTTGTATCATTAACTAACACAACTTGATCAGTAGGTATAGTGGCGGCAGTGATAACATTGCCATTTTTGGTGATATTTGCTATAGAACTAGAAGCTCTCGACTTAGATACTGTCGAACTGTTTCCATGATAATTATGACCTCCGATAATAATTTGTTTGACCGATTCAACCTTTGGTTTTTCTTGCTTGACCGATGGTTTCTGTCTATTACGCAAACATGCTATTGTCCTTTCTGGTTCCTCGGTGATTACAGCACCTGTCTTTAAAGCATTTATCAGTCTTTCTTCCTCTCGTGCAACTTCGTCAAGATATGCACATCGTGAATTTATTTCTGCCATAACCGATTTCTTTTCATTCTGCGCTTGCAATGTTTTCGTAATATCTTCATGTTGAGATATTTCAGCTGATGTGCAAGATACATTTGCGATTTTTTTGACATCGTTTAATTTATTTTTCAATGGCCAAGTTGTCAAACCTGAAGTCGAATGCGATGAGTTAATGTTCAGTGAGAAATCAGTGGATGATGATGCAATTAATGTACTAGTCGGTCTTTTTTGTTGTGTCATTCTATTAGATGTCAAATCAACTGGAAAAGTGGTTTCGATAGTCTCCAAAAAGACTTCGCAGTGATGAGAGCTGGGCGTCTTTGTAGGAACCTGAGGTTTTATTATTTGTGACGGTTTGTTCAAAAACGAAGTAGGAGATAGTAAGACACTTGACAATTTCTTCGAGTTATCGGCAATTAGATTATTCTTTGAGACAATAACCGTCTGTTGCTGTTGCATAGAGTTTCTTTCAAATTTCTGCAAGGCAAATTGTATGGAAGATGGTAATGCCTTAGATGGTGATTTTTTTTTAGAAGCAGCTATTCTAGCTTTATCCTCTTCTACAAAATTATTGACTAGTTTTTCAAGATTGCCATTGTCTAGATTTGGCGTTTGTGCTAATATATCTACCGTTGTTGGGGAAGAATGTTCAAGTGAAGACGATGGTGATGTCTTGCCACCTATATTATTTCCACACACAGCATTCCCGGTAGGTGAGTTGCAAGGTGTTAATGTGCTACCAAATTTGTCAACAGCAGTTGTATTGCTGTGACAAGTTAGAATCTCCGTCGGTGCTAATCCGCGACTTTTCCACGTCTGATAAATCGCCTCTGCATGATCACTGATCTGTTTGGCGATTGCGGCAATATCTTCTTCACCGGAAGCTGATGTTTCTGCAGGAAATTTTCGACGTAAATCATGCTTGGCTGTGGCAGCCATGTCATAAAAATGCTGTTGTTGACACAATTGCGGATGATGATTAAATAGAAAATTCACCACTTGATTACTCAATTCGACAGACTGATCCAACACCAATTCGACTAACTCAGGATTCTTTTGAACAGGCACGATGTTAATTGGAATCGCATAACCAAAATGGATTGTTTGACAATTTACATGATCATATCTGGAACGTGATTCATTTACCAAGCAGGCATTCAAATTTGGACAGTGCACTGCCTTACTTGGACGTAAGTCAACAATCGCTGATACAAAAAGATTGCGTCGTGTCGTGAAGACCTGGCAATCCCAGGACAACAACGACAGCGACGACGATAATGATGATTGATGCAGTTCCGCTATTTTAGCTGACAATAATGATGATGTTCTTGAGGATTGTTGAGATATTATTGTTATCGCTGGCATATCTCAGGCCGGTTGGCCTATTTATTTTCCACAACCACCATGTTATTTTACAGCTTTCTCTCATGTGATTCATTGCTTCTTTTTTTATTCACATTTATCTTTTATTTTTGTTATTCTTTTTGTCATTATATGTAATCATTAATATCGTTTAGCATCTTTGATAAGTTGACAATGAATATGGTTGAAATAATATCCAAATGTAAGATGTAACCAGACTTGCATAGATGAGTGATGATCTGAAAAAAGAATTAATTTTGATATACAAATGTTTAGTAAATAATTATTAAATATAAAACGTAGAAATTACCAAAAATTTTTGGCTAATATTTTTTTAAATAAATTTTTTACAGGTTGTAAAGATGCTTGTTAGGATCAATATTATTAAATTGTTTGTGAATTATTATTAATTCATAATATTACAACTAAAGCTTCAATTCAGAAGTGCATTTTGAGACCGACAAATAATTGGCACGCGTATGCATAAACTGGAAAATGTATATTTTATATAAAATATTATTAGGCAACAAGAGCTGCTGTAAATATGTATATATTGTTATTTATCCATATCGGTCCATTTCACTTATTGTTTATTTTTTTTAATTTTAATTTCCAGATTTGTACATTTTTAAAGAAATATTCAAAAGAAATATCTTGAAAGTAAACATTCAGAAGAATTTAATTCTTTACGTCTTTATACATAACAAAATTATTACATTATATTATAGGAATATTATATTATAGGTGCCGAGGATCCAGGTTCAAAACCATCCAGAACTACGGTGCTCTGAAATGCCCTGCCAATGCTCTACGGTATTTGGCGGCGCAAATCGAAGCAGAGATCTTTGGAAAATGATCGCCAAATGGAAGCGAAATTGGAGGTTGTTATAGCTGTGGAGAAATTGGGATTATAAGAAAATGTAACTCTAAAGAGATCATAAACATTTTTCAATATATAGGGTGTCTGAGGCTATCCGTACACATTTTTATCTTTGCAGAATAAGGTCCAATTAAAAAAATATGTTCGGATCATAGTTGTAGGGCTTAAAAAGTACTATTTATTGATTATATCAGTTTGACCTTGGATAGCTTCACCAAAATCAAGGTCAAAGGTACTATAACTTTCAAGCTTTATAACTTAAAAAGAACTTAATGAAGATAAACTTCATTATACATTGTGTTTTGTAAAGCTCTTGACATTAGTTATCAAATTCTGAAATCAAACATAGGGTATTCTATTTAAAAAAATTAATGTGATCTTGACGAATTTTGGCAATACTCAAGGTTAAACTGATATGATCAATAGATCACTCTACAGATCTTTTTAAGTCTACAATTATGGCCTGATTGGAGATTATCCTGCGAAAAAAAGTGTAGAGTGATCTTACAAGGAAACTGTACGACGTGATACCAATGGATTTCTACGAAACTCATAGTATCAATAGGTATCAGTGTCGATAAACAGATAAAAAACACTACTTAAGCGTTTGCGAAAAAAACGAAGTTGAAAATTCCGCCCCGCGCACGCACGCACTTCCATTCATTCAGGAACATGCGCAAACTTTTATTTTTCTTACGTCCTCGCCGTGGATCTTGCTAGCCCTAAATAATACCAATATTCGGGTGGCACTCGATTAACCACGTTATGATTGGACACTGATTGTTTGGACACGCACAATTGGATACGTACTATTGGACACTGCACGATTGGAAACGAACATTGAATGAATGGACACCGCACGAATGGACACAAACATTGAACAAATGGACACCGCACGATTGGATACCGAACGATTAGACACCGAATGATTGGACACCACACGATTGGACACCGCACGATTGGCCATCGCACGATTTTACGCGAAGCAAGCTCTATCCCGCACCAAGAGAGATTTGAATTAAGTCAGTCTCTTTTTAAAGTAGAGCACCCCCCCCTCCTCATAGAGAAAATGGAACATATTACCTCATGAAGTGTATAAGTGGAGGTAATATGTTGCATTTTCTCTATGGAGGGGGGCTCCACTATAGGCCAACAACGCGAAGCGAGAATCCACATCGAATTACAACTTTTTACGCGAAGCAAGGTTCTTGATCTTGACGTTGACATATGTTATTGTATACACAACACAAAAAGTTGCAAACCCATGTGGAACGTTTTTGCGTTGTAAAGTATATGCGTAAAGGCAGCATGTTCCGCCCCTCCTACGGACCCAAAAAAGATAACCTAACTTAACCCAAATCATCTCTTGGCGTAAGGCGGACTTCCCTTTGCATAAGAAATTGCAAACCCATGTAAATCCTCGCTTCGTGTTGTAAAATGAATACG